GCGTAACATACAAAAAAAAACATACAGACGAATTGAGAACCTCCTCCTCTTTTTGAAGTAGGTTGAAAACTTTTACATCCTTATTACAATATAAGGTGTAATCTACTAGGATTAAAACTAGGTTTAAATCATGAACTAAATAAAACGAAGTTTATTACTAAACCATGGATTATCTATGGTACTAAAGTTAAACCCAAGAGACCACTAGTTTATTTATGTGCTAACTTCGGTACTTTAGTCAAATATCAATTATTATCTAAGTCAAGAATTTGTATAATTACTTAATTATGTCCGTTATCATTATTTACTTATTTAGTTCTAATGCCTTCAAGGCGCATCATAGATAACGTGACCATTATTTTTTCATTCAAAGCACTTGTTTATAATAATAATAATAATTAAAAAATAAATAAAAAAGATACTAAAAAAATTTAATGATCGGACATTTTAAAAAGTAATATGTCTGGTGGGCTAACTTTATACATTTTTCGGATGAATAAATTTGATTTAATATATCAGGTTTAGTTCTTTAATATGAATGTAACTATTGGCGTGATTTTTCAATTTATATGTCACATGTGTCCTGTTATGTTGAAGCGGGATATTTTTAAGTATTTTTAGGACAGTGGGACACGAAACTTAGAAACAAGACTGTCCAGCTAAAAGTTGGACTGTCAGCTGAAAACAGGACGCATGGTCACGTTAATTATAGAGGGTCACTATAAATTTATTTATCACTACGTATTTCACGTACCTACTAGTAACCAAAGATGAATCACTTCGTCACTAATAAAAAATTTTAGAAAATGATTTTTTGGATTTTCTGCAATTTACAGGCGTCATTATTAGGCATGTAGAGAATATCTATTTACAATTTCAATTAGATTTACATGGAACTATAGCACCTTCAAAGAGGGATGCAATTTCATTGAAGATTTGCTTACGGCGCGGGATCAGTTTACACTGGGCATTATTTCCACCTTATCTCCAGCTCGCTTAGCTTTTAATTCAGATGGACGAAACTCGCGAGATAAATTTTTCTTTCACCTATCGACTATGCTACGACTATTGCATTACATTGCCAGACGGTAATATATATCTCCTATAGGCTTAACTTGAACGACATAAGTTTTTTAGACTAAATTGATCTTTCGTCTGAATTTAGTAGCAGTAGAGCTACCTTGTGAAAGAATTCAGGGAAGTTCTGCCACCTTACCCCTTTCTGCCACTAAGCAGTAATGTGAACATTACTGCGTTCCAGTTTGGAAGGGTAAGGGTGCTGGTGAAATTACGGGCACATGGGACTTGTCAACTTATGTATCAGGGTGACGGGCGTAGTGGCAGTGACTCTAAGATCGTTGCGATTAAAGTTCTGAGTGGCACTGCAACTGTTATGGACAGGCGTGTCGCTTACCACCAGGTGCACGACTTGTTCGCCCCGTCAAAAAGATATAATAACAATGTATACAGTATTATTTGTAAAACACTAACAATCTCGCAGGACTATACTAATATCTTAAACAACACTCTTCTGTTCCTTGACTTTATACAAAACGTAACGAATTTACCAGAAACAAACTTTTATGTTGAAACTAGTCAACATATTTTTGATCTGTATTTACTTTCTTTTGTTACCGTTTTGGTTTTGAACACAAGTAAAAGCTGATGAATTATTGAAAGCGTGGAACAGAAGTTGTTTATAATGTTAGTAATATAGTCCTGCGAGGTTGTTGTATATTACAAACAACCCTGTGTATGTAATACTGTGGGCGCAGAACGCACCAGTTTCGCCAGTTCGGAACTTACTTTTTATATTAAGAAGTTTGTGGGTTGTACAATACTTCAAGGTCGGTCATTCTCAAAGCTTTCTTAATGCGTTATTTTCTCAGGTTATTGGTACAAAAACAATAGCACAATCCACTTTGATAGTCTCTTCTAAGCTAACAGATTCCCACGATTAAGTTAACGTGCAACGAGGGCGATGCTCATTCGATAGACATTCTTTATCTTGTTACGAAATTTTAATTGGGTATGTGATTCCGAAAAAATAAACTTTTTGTTTAATTCACACAATATATACAAAATGGGCAGCAGCGTTTTCTTATGTGTTTTATATTTTTTTAAATTTATAATCCACTCACGCTTGGTTTACATTATTTTTGAGATTATTCTCATGTTATAATGTGACCGACGCTACGGTGGTACCTACTTATTATATCTGTTACTTCAAGTTTTTTTTTGTTCTTAACATTCAATAAAAGGTGACACATATCTACGCAAAACATTTAAAAATTACGCTAAAAATAAAACGTACGTGAAACTATGAATTTTATTTATTTTTATTGAATAAATTGTCACTACTTTCACGCACATGACGTGTAATAAAATACAATAGAAACTTAATTAAGCAAGTCGAGCTAAGTTCAATTAAGTAACTCCCATAAGTTGTGTAACAAACTAACCACAAACCTAAATTTAGACAGACAACAATTAAACCTGTACAAAGTCGTAAAACCACTGGCTGCATTCTAATTGTACGAAAACTACAGACCGAATCATTGGTTGGTGGCGGCAGAACGCCTGATGAATAGTTAATGCAATTAGACGCTTGCTAGTCAATTGCTATGATTGCTCATAAATTATTAGTAGGCGCTTGTTGGGCTGTCATCAATTTTTTTTAAACGATACTAATATTACTTAAGTAGACTTTGATTTTACGAAAGTCTACTAAATGATATTGAATCATGGTCATTTACTACTTACTTTATCCGATATATTTTCACTTTGATGCTTTGAAACAGATAAGTCCTTAATGTAGTTTGGGATTTAGGAAGTCAACAATACGTATCAAATAAACTCAGCAAATTATTCATCCACACAATTGAAGCAAAAGGCTACTCAAGACTTCGTAGTAACCGCATTAGACAACAAAAAGGAAGGCACAGGCACTTACGTAGAGCATTGTTTATTAGGAACAATGGATGGCGAAGAAAAAGTGAATAACGCTTTGTTTTGTTATGATTGGGCTGTTTAGAACAAAAACACTCACATTTACCTACACTTACCTCCACACCTACTTATTTACCTACACACCTCATTGAAAATGAATTAAAAGGTACGAACAGTAAACAAAAAAACAGAAAATGTAGAAAAATTATAATGGGGTAATTTCAGGTGTTTTTTCTCTACCTAATTTTGAAGGCAATTTTTGTTATTTAAGTATCTGAAGCATACCATAGCAAATGATTAAATAATGTTTCAGATTACTACACTCGAATATTAAATAATGCTTCGTGATTATATTTTAGAATATTTTAATAAACATTTCCTGAAATTATCTAGGTAGAGAAACTAATTTGAAAATTACCCAATACTCTTTAAAGCAACTATCTAAAATTTTTTTATGATACCAAGGGCAGGGGTAAATAGCGCCTGATGGCAAGCGACACGCCTGTCCGTAACAGTTGCAGTTCGGCTCAGAGCTTTAAATCGCAAAGATTTTAGGGGCACTTCAAAACCGGAACGCAATTACACTCACATTACTGCTTGGCGACAGGAATTGGATAGGTGGCAATACTTCCCTGAACCAACTATTTCACAAAGAGCTATACCGCTACTAAGAATTGTACTTTTAATATGTGCTAATTAATATATTTAGTTACATAGGACGTTGCAGCATTCCACTTTCTATTTATTTATTTTATTGTATTATTCCACTTTCTCCAAAACGAATAACTTTAAAAAGGTGTGTCACAAAGTCAACAAAAAAGACAAATTTGAAAACAAAATAGAGATTTCACTAAAAAGCGTGACAATGACTAAGAAAAACTTGTGCTGTTCGAACGACCGACACGTTATTGTCTATAATCCATTTGTTTAGGTATTTAACTAAATGTAAACAATCTTGAAATGTCCATTTAATGAAATATAGATTTACAAAATTATTTTTACTTACTTTCAAATACAAAATACAAATACTTAGTTACATGTCAAATTGCATGCCTATTTTTAATTCCTATTGATTTGTAAAGTATACGTATAAATAAAAAGATGTCTCAAGATTGTTTACATTTAGTTAAGTACCTAAACAAATGGACTATAGATTAGTGTGCGACTTTTTGAACAAACGTTGTAATGTTATAAATGCAATGTTTTAAATACACGTATACATTTTTATTACACGAGTATGCACAAATTAAAAATAAATCGTAATGTCATGGAATTTAAATTAATATTTCTATTCAAAACAACAACGCGAACCAAAGGATGCAAATATACAGGGTGATTTGTAATTATACTAATAACCTCGCGAGACTATATTACTAACATCATAAACACCATAAAATTTTAGGAATTGAAACTACTTTTCCGGATGTAAATCGCGTATACTTGTTTTTTCAAACAAACCAACGTTTCGGGCCCTTTACAGGTCCCATGGTTACGGTTGACTAGTCGTTTCCTATGTTTAACAATGGCGAAAACCTAAGAACTCGATATCATAAAATTTTGTTCCACTTTGAATAATTCGTACAAAATTAAATATTAAATAAACGCTCTAAACGGTGATAACTCTGTACGGTAACAAGAGAAACAGGACGCTAGTATGTTTGAACTTTTATACCTGACTTAAGCCGTAAAGGAATTGTACTGACATTCGTATCTCACGAACGAATTATTACTAGACTAGAAAACGACTAGAAAAGTTCATCCGGAGGTTTTACTTCGAGCTAGAAAATGGAACCCAAGTCCATCTGTTATTAGTTTATATTATACCTTTTACAAAAAGGCTTGGGACTGCTTATGCTAGCGTACAAAATTAAAATAACGTATTCATGTCATGATATAACTTTAATTTCAATTGCGTTGCGTGAAACCATGTCAAAAATATGTAGCAAGCGATCGTTAAATGTAGAACTATCATAGGTTTTCTTTTCAGCCTCCTACAAAAAGAAACATACAAAAAGGAATATAAATTTAACAAATATTTTATTCTCTTTCAGATGGCGTCAATGCACTGGACTCTACTTGCCATCCTCTTAAACACAACGCTCATAATCGCCGCACCTAGTGATATTAACAAGCTGGAAGATATCGCTACAGTCGAGAAAGCCGATGCTGAACTACAAACACCTTTAATTCTAACTGAAGAATACAAAGACAATACGGAGACAACTCAGGGACAAAGACAAAAAAGATTCTTCAACTATTACGGATATGGCTTTCCTCCCATTAATCCAGTCATATATCCGAACAGAGATGATCAACATGGACAATATGGTTATGAAGATCCCATAGTACAAATTCAAAGACGATTGCAAGACATTGCTGCGATTGCAAGCACATCGAACCACAACTACAATGTGCCACCGCCATTTCCGCCTGGAGCACATTTTCCTATTCTTTTTCCCATCATTTTTATCCCTTACGTTAACTGTGGGTGTACTCTTAATGAAACTCCTAGCAATCAAACACCTGGTAATCAAACACAACTTTCAAATGTGAACGGCACATCTGGATATGTGCCAGACCTATCTACCAGATTTCCGCAAATGGAAGATGAAAACCAAAATTGGGGATTCTTTATTAACGAAACAGAAGAAACCGACAATCTAGAAGAAGACTTCACAAGACCGATTTCTTTTGACCCAATTTTACCAAACCGACCTATGAATCGTCCGCCACCAGAAGTAGAACACGGAAGCAGTCAGGCTGGAAGCGCTGGAACGAACAATCAGGCCAGTTCAACGACCACTACAACAACTATTCGCCCAATGCCCAATCCTCCGAGACCAATGCAGAATAGACCTCAGTCAGCTTCTCTAGATCCTCCTTCAGCTTGTGATGGGGCGATTCTTAGCTGTTGTCATCAACCACAAGTGACATACGATTGTTTTGCCTTATCAGGTTGTCCTGACCCAAGTTCTTATGGGAATCCCTGTGAAGCCAATGTTATTTTGAGAGTAATTAATAGATTCCAAACGTATTATAGAAGAAGAGGATAAATAGTGCATCGTCGGATTAACGTACATGAAAAGGAAAATCCTGAAAAAGTCGTCTTGAACACTTTAAAATTCCATAAAAAGATGAGATGTAATTTTACAAAGTTTAATTTGGGTAATTATGGCAAAATAGGTCGTAAGTAGGTCAATATAGATTCTGTGAGAGCAGCTGAAAACTTGTACTTGAAAATTAGGTATTACAGCGGTTACACACGGACAAACGTGCGATAAAAACAGCGATACAAAAGCGCGTTTGGAAAACGCGCGATTCGCGCGATTGCATCGATGCAGTCGCTTATGTTGAAAAATGTGTATATGTTTATGCACATTGTTTTGTTAATTGTAAGTTTAAAAGGGAAATTAATTAATTAAAAACGTATATTGTGTTTCCATCGCGATTGCATCGCAACTGCATCGCTGCAGACGCGCTGTTAAAAATCGCCGTTTGTAACCGCTCTTAAACGTGAAACACGCAGAGAACAGGGCGCATGACAGGTCGGGAGCATGGCGGGTGTAATTCTGTCTATTTATGTAAACAACAACACGTCACGCGCCGGAATTACACACGACATTCACTCGGCCCGACCCGCGCCCGTCCCGCACCCGCTGTCCGAGTGTTTCACGCTTTAACGTAACACACAATTGCTTTGAAAAATGTTTTTTTACAATATCAAATGATGGCACGAATAAGTGCGTCTGGTTGTACGCGACATACCAGAGTGACTCAGAGCTTCAAATCGCAAAGATTTGAGTGGAACTGCCACTGTGCCCGTCACCCTGAGACATAAAGTTGACAAGTCCAATGTGCCTGTAGTTAACCCTTCCCCATCAAAACCGGAACACAGTTGTGCGTTACATTACTGCTTGACACAAGCTCTACAGCTACTAAAACTAGGACGTAACATACTTATGTATAATCAGCTATATGAATAAGTTATTAAATGCTTTCTTACAGTCGATCTCTGTTTTAGAAATTAAAGTCGATAAAATTTAAATATTCCTTAATGACTTACTTCCTACTGCTAATCTTAAAATGCAAATTATGTCGAGGATTTTCCGAAATTCCGGATGAATAATTAACAAAATTTTGTATTAATTCTGTGAATTTGATCGAGCGTTTGAAACTTTTCCAAGAACTGTAATATTTAAGAAATTTTTCGCCACATTTTCGTAAGTCAGCTTGAGTTATTAACACTATTAAATATAAAAAGTTTTTTAAGCATTTGTTTTTTTAATAGTGCGAATTGAAAATGTAATTATAATGTAACACTAATTTTGTTCCTATCGATTTGTTTATCGTGTAAAATAGTCTTTATGTCGTACTTGCTTCTTAATAAAAACGTAGTAAAGCCATTAAGCCATTTTGTTTTATATGTAGACGCGGAATGTAAATTGTAATATTGCTTTTTATAAACTGTTTTTATGAGACTATTTCCTATTTTTAACCGACTTCAATTGGTCTGTATTTTTTGTGTGTTTGTTACGCGATGACCCGATATCTGTGAACCGATATTGAACATTCTTTTTTTATTGACAAGCGGACGTATTAGGCCCATTAAAATTTTAAGAAAATATTGCATATCTCGATACTTCCAAGGAACAACGCCAATTTAATTTTTGGATCTGTTCTGTTTTTATTTTCTTATATTTTTCACAAAATTCGTTTTTACGAACTTAGTTTTTTTTCTTTATTTTATTTTCACAAAATTCGGAAATCATATTATTAGTAAATAAATATGTTTGTTTACAAAAATAGCAGAAAATGACCAAAAAATCAAGATGGCGTAGTGTTCATTGGAGGTATCGATCTAAAGATGGCAAATTAGGGAATGAATCTTTTATTGAATTTCACCCATTTCTCGTTAACCGATTTCAATAAAACTTGCTAGTTTGCTTGCTAACTTAGATGTTATTCCTAAAAACATGCTATGGTGACCTAGGAACTAAGATGGAAATGACAGATAGATGAAGGCAACTTCGAAACAGTGCACAAAAATGTAACCTTATGTTTGGATAACGAAATACGGCAACGATCACAGCAAAAGCGGATCAGACAAAATTTTAAGGCCGGTTTAAAAGTCATAAATATATACTTTGTTCATTATATAACTGGGTTAGTTCAGTATATGAAACCACTTAATTTTTACTACTACAAAATGTTTTTACCTACAGCACTATAAGATATGGTTTTTTTGCGATGTGGCAGTGTTTTCATATGATTTTGTTGGACTTTACGAATAATATCAATTATTGTTTACAAAGTAAAAATAATGATTCTGCAGATAAAGAGGCGACACACTTTCAGTTCTGTTCTTGCCCATTAATATACAATAGAAGGCCAATTTCAAAGAAAACATATTAAAGTTTCACAAATTACTAGTAAAAATTAAGAAAAGTCGCCTATATGCCTATAGCATAATAAATAGATTTTAGACTACAGCACGTAGGTAGTTGTTTTATGTTAACGCTTTTGTACTATTCATAATTTTGTACCTGTATTTTGCCCTATCGATTAATTTTCTTATTATTTTTATGATTTCTCATAATCATTATTATATGTAATTATAATAATAATAATAACAATTATAAATAATGCATTTAATATATAATAAAACTGCAACTGCAACGCTCGAGTCGAGTTAGTCAACCGAGTGACAGACTTCGAGAGTACTTCCGTAGGTCATCCATAGTGGGATAACTACGGATTTCGTGCTTCGAGAGTAGGCTCCCAGGTTCGAGTCCTGTCAGATCGAAGGAATTTTTCTTTGTATTCGATCTCTGTATTATAATTATAACAAAATGCATACAAATTTGATATACACTTTAAATTACACCCTGTATATATTGTTATTACAATTAATGTGAATTCTTAAAATTAGGATGAAAAACGGATCAGAAAAATAAAAGTTAAATGATGTAATGGAACAATTTATTCATATTAGTATCTTGATGTTAACGCTAAGTATTTGTGTATTATAAGTAGAAATAAAGATAACAGGTACATATTTACAGCTTTTATATTTTTCCTTTCAAATCTTCTCCCTTCCATCAAGTACAAACGTGAAATATGGTATGATATTGTGTAACGGGCTGGTAAATGTGAAATATACAGGGTGACTAGTTAATTGACGATAATATAAGGACTGATTTCACTCATGAAAGCGAACAACTTTGCCTAAGGACCTTTAAAATTGCGCATAAAAATCAACCATGCATTTCTGTCAAGCACATAATAGCAATTTCATATGAAACAGTTCATATATTATTGTAATTTGAATTTGAATTTGAATATTGGGAATTCAAATAATGTAGTCGAATTGTTCGCAATTATAATATTCAATATTTCGCACCCTTGGTATAATAAGGTCATATCTTTTCAGGAGAAGAGGCTTAAAGATTCTGAGAACGATACATTTTTTATTTTTCAATAGGATAGAAATTTTACATACACATAATTTGTCTCTTGTATACTTCGATTTGTTTAGAATTAGAAAAACTGTAAACACAGACGTAGTGACCAACCAGTAACATCAACAAAAAATTTATAACAAATGACATTTATAAATCACGTAAAAAGTTTCCATTTAATGTTTGGCAGTCTTTGAAATAGTTTACATTTATAAAGACAAAAATTTGTAAGTAGTACAAGTAAAAAAAGGTATTAAATATATTTGAACATTTTGTTTCACGGTTTTTATTAAATTTCTTTAGATATACAACGACTGATTAAAATGGTGCCTGATAAAAGACTCAAAATTTTCTTCTGTCTAGTGATAGAAAAACTAAGTTTAGTAAAGTTTACATTTTTAACGTATTATCACAATGTCATGCGTCTTTACTATACCGGAGGCACGAATTATAATATATATTATGAAGCCAATGTTTGCTATATAAGCAAAGTAAGTTATAGTTAAAAGTAAAAAAAATAATGATATGGTTTTGTAATCACATACTCTTCGTTGAAAATTTTAAATTTCAATTTCGAGTGTCGTTCCAGTAACACGTTTAAAACATCGCAATAAAACTTTAGTCTTGTCGCTTTTGTAATTATTTTTTTATAGTCTGTATACAATTTCGGCCAATTTGAGAGAAAACCTAAAATAAAGATATTGCGTACTCCGAAGCGTAATGTCGATACGGTGCGCGAGTTCTATGGGCGCTTGCACGGTTATTACTCTAATGGTAATGTTTATTGTCTATTGCATAATAGGTCAAGGAATACTACCCTGCTTGTCATACTTAACGCATTTGCTTTTCGGTAGCTTAAGAGATGTTGGCACCAAAAGTTTTATTGTCGTCTAATAAAAAATACCCAAATTTTGCATAACTGTAAAACGAACACTAAATGAGATATAAAAAACCGATGAATTTTTTATATTTATTTATTTATGGGCTTTGATCGTTATTGAACATGTCAGCCCCATTAGAAAAACGGTACATCAAGAAAACACTCATTATAATTCAGACCGATAAATCAAAATACTGTCTAACTAAACATGTATACAAAATCTCCGCGGCACAACACATTGGCTCCGACAAAACAGATTGAAACTACCCAACATTAAATGTACAGAAGCCAGCCTGTGCAAATAACCACGCCCTGATAGGCTCCGTCCGAACACGCTCCATGAACAAATGATGTACATCCTCAGGTCTATGAACACACTCAGAACTCGGTGACGAAAAATTTTCATAGATTTCCTATAGATGGCGCTACGGCTAAAAAGTGGTTGAAAATTAAACATAAAGATCCGACAAACAAACACATAGAAAAACTCGTGAGGTCCGCTGCTTTGTTCCGTAGCTTCGTTGGCAATGCGTCTGCCACGGTTTTCTAGAAAACGTTAGTTCAAATCCGGCCGGATCGAAGTAATTTTTTCTAAGTGTTCGATCTTTCTAATAATTATAACACACTCAGGAAACTACCGCGGTGGCGGGCTAGCATGGAGGTGCAACGTCTTCTCATTATGACATAGAAGTCATCCGCGTGCGCCTCTGCAAACATCTCCGAAGCATTGCAACGCCACGACAACCCATCCTGATTGCGTTATTGTATTGGACACTCTATGACCTCGCTGCAAAATGAATTATTTAAGAATAAAATATCTGACTTTGTGCATAATTTTTATAAGTAGATATTTCTCTTTAAATACTACAGAGAACCTGCTAAATTTTGTTTTTTCAACTGAAGCCTTATTTATTAAATTCTATTTATCCTGAAATTTGCAAATCGCCCAGCGGCTTAACGATACGCCGTCAGTCGCCACTGGGCGCTTGTCGACATTCTTATTTTATTCATATGAAATTCACAGTGCACGAATTGCAGGACGCAAGAGGCGACCTAAAATCTAAATCTCACCTGAAATGTAGGTGTTGAAGTGCCTCGCCGTAAACCACACCAATTACCTGGGTCTCGAACTAGGGAACACTTGAGTATCAGAGCGACAGAATTCACTCTGAAGCACTTCCCAGAATACCCAGGCCGTAACTAATTTACAAAAGTTCATTTCCCAAATTGGTACAACCGGGAATCGAACCCGGGACCTCCTCAAACAGCGCCCACCATGTTAAAACCACCGAGGTTGTCATTTTTGTTTCACTTAACCTCGTAAATGGCAACTTTTGAATATCAACCGGAATCTTTTTATAGCAGCGTATGCTTTACCCCATAAATAAAATTGCTCTGTGAAATCGACTGTCAAGAACAGGCAGTTTATTTTTGTCTCTCGTGAATACGAGATTCACATTTACATTTATGTAAAATAATAGAGATAATTATTAACCAAAAACCGACCTCAAACGTTTGCTTATCGGATTTTTTATTGTATTTGTTACCCTTAGAGGTTGACTATTTTCTTCGAATTTAAATGGGACCAATACACCTCCGTAGAACAACGATCTATGTGCAAGACTACTTGTTCTCAGGACATAGTACATTGCGTTCGTTCTTCTTTGCGAGTGGATGTTCAGATCGACCGTTGTTCTATTTTATATGCCCGAAACGAAATAAGATATATAATTTCTCAAAATACCTTTATATAGGTCTTGGTTTGAATAACGAAATCATTCTCGTAACATGCTTAATCTCTTTTCTCTATATAATTACACCCGACTCTGTTCTTCGGAAGCGTCGAAATAGTAGAGTAATCGTGTAACATACACACACCAAAAATACCCTCGAATTAGGGACGTCCTCCTTTTTTAAAGTCGGTTAAAAATGCATGTAATGTAAAACCGACCGTAAGGTAAATTTGCGAAAACATTTTTTTAATGTAACTTGACCGACGTGTGTGAACTCAGGAACTGATAAATTAATGACCACACAAACATGCGTAGTCGTTAAGCGCACGTATTTTCCCATGTATAGCAATGTGATACATGTCCACGAACAGGTTGTTATGACGTACGTAGCAACGTACGAGCCTTTACAAGTTGCACTTGTACATTGACTTGGACTTAGTAACGCGAAATCTTGGGAAAAAAACATCCTCCAATCTAAGAATCGATAGAAGTGTACTTCGAACACAGTTTTTTTTGGGGAAAAATCATCGATACTAATATAATAAACAGGCTGTTTGAGATTATGTTGGTTAACTTAACAAGTATTTCAAATGTACCTACAATTGACGGTCGGTGAATTAAAAAAAAGTAAGCCGAAGTTGAATGTACGCAACAAACTTAGCAATGCAAGTCTTATTGCTTAGTTGAAGAATAA